AAAAAGAGACAAAATCAGAAAAAGAAAGGTCACTTTGCAAATAGAATTAAGAAGGAATATAGACACCACAAATTTCAAACTTGCATGATTCGAACATATGAGCTATTTCCTGCAAAATCAGGGATGCACTTCACCCATTACAGCAGAATCTCAGAGAAAAAGCCCAAGTCCAGGATGCTACCAGTAAGGCCTTAGGGTAAATACTAAATCAAGGCTGTGATTGTAGCAGCTTTCTAAAATTGGTAAAAACATTAAGATCATATCTAGTTAATCTTTTAAGCTAGGCAAGAAGGCTAAAATGAATAATGTTATGGCCACTGAGAATGCTGATGTATTCAAAGTATCTGTAAATAAGTCAATAGAGATAGGTATTTATAAAGATCACTTTTATGTGTCAACTTGGCTAAACCATGGGATCAAAATATTTGATCAAATATTATTCTGAATGTTTCTGTGAAGGCTTTTTTAAAAACGAGAGTAACACTGAAACCTGTGAACTTAGAGTAAAACAAATTACACTCCATAATATGGGTGGGTCTCATCAAATCAGTAAAGGGCATCCTATAATAAAGTTGACCTCCTCTAAGCAAGAAAGAATTTTGCTGGCCTACTGCCTGTGGACTTGAATTGCAACTCTTTCTGGGGTCTCTTCCTTGCTGTCCCACTCTGCAGATTTTGGGCTTGCCCAGCTTCCACAATCATGTGAACCAGTTTTTAAAAATAATTTTCCCCCCACCCCACCACATGGGTTCTGTTTCTCTAGAAAAGTCTAATACAATACTTCTAGCAAAAATTATTGATGTGGCTTTTGGCAAGTAGATTTGACTAAATCAAATAAATAAATGATAAATCTTGTGGGAGAACTCCAGATATCTATACTATAACCACTTACTTACAGGTTAAAAAGTTTTCCTTTGAAGAGAATAAGATATTAATATTTTGTTTTGAAAGACATCACATATAGTTAATAGTAAACATACCATGTCAAAAACATGGTGAAAGCTCATATGTTTAACTTTCATATGTTGAAAGTTTAGGTGAGATCTCTTAGTCTTATTCTATCAGCTTCTTAAACACTGGCATTTAGAATTATATACTTTCAAAACAAAATTGGAAAGGTGTTTTTGGGGGAATCTGATCAGAGTAAAATAAAGTATCTAAAGTTCAAAATATGGATCCCCCAAATTAAATGGAAGCCAGGTCATTCTGAAGTGAAGTTTATGGTGCTAAACCACACACAAAGGCCCTAAATTTTTAAATCAATTTTAAACTGGCATACTCTTAAATATCTCATAAGGACCATCCATCCAGTGATTGGAATTTGAGAGAAAAGCTTCTCTCATGAGGGGTAGAAACCAAGATATCAAACAGAGAAAAGACAGTTTAAGAAACAAAGAATAGGAGAGAGATCCAAGATGGCTGATCACTAGCAGCTCGGGATTGCAGCTCCCACTGAAAGCGCAGAGAACGAGAGGACGCCACACTTTCAGATCAATTTTTGTTGCTCACACATCAGGAGATTCCCAGCGGAGGAGCCCCACGTGTCGCCAGCGTGACTCTTGAGGCCGGTGAGGTGGTTTTGCCGCTGCCTTGGTGTGGCGGTTCTTGGTGCAGAGTCAGAAAAGCACCATCAATCTTAGAGCCGCTGTTTTGGCCGGAGCAGTGGGTTGCTCAGATTCTAGCGCCGGGAATCAACAAGTTGGACGTCCATTCAGAAACCCAACTATAAAGACGGTAATTATAAAGACCACAGATGGATGAATTTATAATGAAGGGAAGAAACCAGCCTAAAAAGGCTGTGAATACCAAAAATCAGAATGCTTCTCCCTCTACAGGGGATCACAGTTCCTCATCAGAAACAGAACAAGGCCTGATGGAGAAAGACTGTGTTCTATTAGCAGAAGCTGGCTTTAAAAAGTGGATGATAAGAAACTTCTGGGAATTAAAAGAACTTGTTCTAACCCAATGCAAAGAAACCAAGAACTTTGAAAAAAGGTTTGAAGAAATGTTAACAATAACACACAATTTAGAGAGGAATATAAGTGAATTAATGGAGCTGAAAAATACAACACGAGAACTTCGTGAACTATGCACAGGTTTTAACAGCCGAATTGATCAAGCAGAAGAAAAGATATCAGAGGTCGAAGACCAACTTCATGAAATAAAACAAAAAGACAAGATTAGAGAAAAAAGGATAAAAAAGAACGAGCAAAGTCTCCAAGAAATATGGGACTATGTGAAAAGACCTAATCTACGTTTGATAGGTGTACCTGAATGTGACGAAGAGAATCAATCCAAGCTGGAAAATACCCTTCAGGATATTATTCAGGAAAACTTTCCTAACCTAGCAAGGCAGGACAATATTCAACTCCAGGAAATACAGAGAACACCACAAGGATATTCCTCAAGAAGACCAACCTCAAGGCACATAATCGCCAGATTCACCAGGGTTGAAATGATGGAGAAAATACTGAGGGCAGCCAGAGAGAAAGGTCAGGTTACCCATAAAGGGAAGCCCATCAGACTCACAGCAGATCTCTCAGCAGAAACCCTACAAGCCAGAAGAGAGTGGGGGCCAATATTCAACATCCTTAAAGAAAAAAACTTTCAACCCAGAATTTTACATCCAGCCAAACTAAGCTTCATAAGCGAAGGAAAAATAAAATCTTTTGTGAACAAGCAAGCACTCAGAGATTTCATCACCACCAGGCCTGCTTTACAAGAGCTTCTGAAAGAACCACTACAAATAGAAAGGAACAACCAGTATCAGCCTTTCTAAAAAATACCAAAAAATAAAGAACATCAACATAATTAAGAAATTGCATCAACCAATGGGCAAAACAGCCAGCTAACATTAAATGACAGTATCAAACACACATATATTGTTATTAATTCTAAATTTAAATCGACTGGATCCCCCAATCCAAAGACACAGACAGGCAGAAAAAGCCAAGACCCATTGGTATGCTACATCCAGATCCATCTCACATGCAAGGATACATAAAGACTCAAAATAAAGGGATGGTGAAAAATTTACCAACCAAATGGAGAGCTAAAATAAATAAATAGAAAGCAGGAGTTGCAATTTTTGCTGATAAAATAGATTTCAAAGAAACAAAGATCAAAAGAAGCAAAGAAGGATATTACATAAAGATAAAAGGATCAATGTAACAAGAAGAGCTAAGGATCCTAAACGTGTGTGCACCCAATACAGAAATACCCAGATATATAAGACTTACAAGGAGACTTGGACCCCCACACAATAATAGTGGGAGACTTCAACATCAATATTAGATAGATCAATGAGACAGAATGTTAGCATCGATATCCAGGATTTGAACTCAGATCTGGAACAAGTAGACTTGATTAACATTCATAGAACTCTCCACTTTAATACACAGAATATACACTCTTATCAGTACTACATCACACGTATTTACAGGTTTAAATGAAATATTGGTTGGCTGTTTGTTAATTATTTTCTTCCCTCATTTTTTTTTATGTCTCTATTATTAAACACAATTACAGGCATAACCAGTTTTGGACTGCATTTTAGCCCGGGCAATAAAGCAACATTCCTGTTCTCTCTCCCTCTTCCTCTTCCTCTTTCTTCCTTTCCTTTATTCTTTTTCTTTCTTTCTCTCATTCTAAAAAAAAAAAAAAAAAAAAAAAGAAACAAAGATATGCAGAGAGTAAAACTTCTTAAAGAACTATAATTATTATTTTAAAAGGTGAAATAACTTATTCTAGCCATAATGAAGAATAAGATGCTATGTAAAATAAAGAACAAGAAGTAATTGAATGGCAAAAAAAATAAAAAAAAATTTGGAGAGAGAGCAAGACAATGAAAGGACTAGCCCAGTTTTCCAATATCTGATTTAAAAAATTGTTGGTACATGATATGTGTATATATTTATTGGTGACATGAAATGTTTTGATACAGGCATGCAATGCATCACAATCACATCAGGGTAAATGGAGTATCCATCACCTCAAGTATTTATCCCTGTGTTTAAAACAATCCAATTACACTCTTTCAGTTATTTTTAAATGAATAACTACTTTTACTATAATCCTCCCATTGTGCTATCAAATACTAGGTCTTATTTATTCTTTCTGACTATTTATTGTACCCATTAACCATTTCCACTCCCCTCTCCCTGACTTCACTCACTGACTACCCTTCCAGGGGCTGAACCCTCCTTCTACTCTCTGTCTCTGAGTTCTAACTGTTTTAATTTTCAGCTCCCATAGTTAAGTGAGAACATGCGAATGTTTGTCTTTCTGTGTTTGGTAACTTGACTTAATGTAATAACCTCCAGTTCTATCCATGTTGTTGTAAGTGGATCTCATTCTTTTTATGGCTGAATAGCACTCCACTATGTATAAGTACCACATTTTCTTTATTTATTATCTGCCGATAGATGCTTAGGTTACTTCCAAATCTAAGCTATTGTATACAGTGGTGCAACAAACATGGGAGAATAGATATCTCTTTGATATACTGACTTTCTTTGTTTTGTGTATATGTCCAGCAGTGGGATTGCTGGATCATAGGGTACCTATATTTTTCGTTTCTTGAGGGACCTCCAAACTATTCTCCATAGTGGTTGCATTAACTTTTATTCCCATCAACAGTATATGAGGGTTCCTTTTTCTCCATGTCCTTGCCAGCATTTCTTATTGCCTGTCTTTTGGATATAAGCCACTTTAACTGGGGTGAGATGGTATCTCATTGTAGTTTTGACTTGCATTTCTCTGATTATCAATGCCTTTGAGCACCTTTTCACATACCTGTTTGCCTTTTGCATGTAATCCATTGAGAAATGTTTATTCAAATCTTTTGTCCATTTTCTAATCAGATTATTATATTTTTTTCTATAGAGTTGTTTGAGCTACATGTATATTCTGGTTATTAATCCCTTGTCAGATGGATAGTTTGAAAATATTTTCTTCCATTTTGTGGGTTATTTCTTCACTTTATTGATTGTTTTCTTTACTGTGAAGAAGCTTTTTAACATGATATGATCTCATTTGTCTTTTTTTGCTTTTTGCCTGTGTCTGTCGGGTATTTCTCAAGAAATCATTTCCCAGTCCAATGTCCTAGAAAGTTTTCTCAAAGTTTTATTTGAGCAGTTTCATAATTTGAAGTCTTAGAGTTAAGTCTTAATTTCATTTTGATTTGATTTTTGTATATGATGAGAGATAGATGTCAAGTTTCATTATTTTGCATATGGGCATCCAGTTTTCCCAGTACCATTTATTGAAGAGGCTTTTCTTTTCCAATGTATGTTTTTAGAACTTTTGCCGAAAATGAGTTTACCATTGATGTAAGGATTTATTTCGGGGTTCTTTATTCTGTTCCACTGGTATGTGTATTTGATTTTGTGTCAGTACTATGTTGTTTTGTTTACTATAGTTCTATAGCATAATTTGAAGTCAAGTAATGTGATCCCTCTAGTTTTGTTCTTTCTCCTTATAACAGGTTTGGCTATTCTGGGTCTTTTGTGGTTCCATATAAATTTGAGGATTATTTTTTCCATTTCTGTAAAGAATGTCATTGCTATTTTGATAGGGATTGCATTAAATCTATAGATTCCTTAGAGAAGAATTGACATTTTAACAGTATTATTTTTTTCAAACCATGAACATTGATTATCTTTCATTTTTTTGTGTCCTGTTCAGTTTCTTGCATCAGTGTTGTATAGTTTTCATTGTAGAGAAATTTCACTTCTTTGGTTAAGTCCTAGGTATTTTATTTTATTTGTAGCTATTGTAAATGGGATTATTTTATTGATTTTTTCTTTCAGATTGTTCACTGTTGTCATATAGAAGTACTACTGATTGGCTGGACATGGTGGCTCATGCCTGGAATTCCAGCATTTTGGGAGATCAAGGCAGGTGGATCACTTGAACCCAGGATTTTGAGATCAGCCTGGGCAATATGATGAAACCCCATCTCTACAAAAAATACAAAAATTAGGTGGGTGTGATGGCATGTGCCAGTAGTCCCAGCTACTTGGGAGGCTGAGGAGAGAGGATGGCTTGAACCCAGGAGGCAGAGGTTACAGTGAACTGAGTTCATGCCACTGCACTTCAGCCTGGGTGACAGAGTGGGGCTCTGTGTCAAAAAAAACAGAAAAAAAAGCTACTGATTTTTATATGTTGATTTTGTAACCTGCAACTTCACTGAATTTGTTTATCAGTGCTAATGGTTTCTTGGTGGAGTCTTTAGATTTTTCCAAAAATAAAATCATAATTATCTGCAAACAGGAATAATTTAACTTCCTCCTTTCCTATTTGAATTTCCTTTATTTCTTTCTCATGTGTAATTCCTTTAGCTAGAACTTCCAGTAATATGTTGAATAGCATGGTGACCAGTGGGTATCCTTGCTATGTTCCAGATCTTAGAGAAAAGCCTTTCAGCTTTTTCCCATTTAGTAAACTAGCTGTGGATCTATAATATATAGCTTTTATTATGTTGAGGTACATTCCTTCTATACCTAGTTTCCTTGTTATTTTTTAAAATTATGGGTGGATGTTAAATTTTATAAATGCTTTTTCAGTATCAATTGAAATGATCATATGGTTTTTGTCCTTCATTCTGTTGATATGATTTATCGCATTGATTGATTCACATATGTTCAGCCATTCTTGCATCCCAGAGATAAATTCCACTTCATTATGATGAATCAGATTTTTTAATATGTTGTTGAATTTGTTTGATAGTATTTTGTTGATAATTTTTGCATCCATATTCATTAGTGGTATTGGCCTGCAGTTTCCCTTTTTTTGATATGTTTTTGGTTGGTTTTGGTACCAGGGTAATACAAGCCTCACAGAAGAATGGATTTGAAAGTATGTCATTCTCCTCTATTTTTCGAGATAGTTTGCATAGGATTGGGGTTAATACTTCTTTAAATGTTTGGTAGAACTTAGCAGTAAAGCCATGGAATCCTTAGCTTTTCTCAGCTGAAGACATTTTATTGCAACTTTAATCTTGTTATTTGTTATTGTTCTGTTCAGGTTTTGGATTTCTTCATGGTTCAGTGTTAGCAGGTTGTATGTGTCTAGGAGTTTGTTCGTTTCTAGATTTTCTAATTCATTGGCATATATAATTGTTCATAGTAGCCACTAATGATCTTCTGAATTTCTACAGTATCAGTTGTAAAGACTCCTTTTTCATCTCTGATTTTATTTATTTGGGTCTTCTTTTTTATGTTTTTAGTTAGGTTTATCAATTTTGTTTAACTTTTCAAAAAAACCAGCTTTTAGTTTATTGACCCTGAATAACCAGCAGTGATATGCAGGTAGATATCACAGGTTTTGGGTGAGACTGAGAGTTGCTGGCTTCAGGAGAAACTCAGTACATTTCTAGTGGTGGTGGCTATAGAGGCAGACTCCTACTTGAGAAAAGCAGAAGGAAAAGAATAGGGGGCTTTGTCTTGCACCGTAGGTATCAGCTCTGCCACAGGGGATATATTGAACACCAAGTGGGTGCTTTACCCTGCTATGGCTGAGCTGGTATCCAAGATGCAATACAAAGTCCTCTCCACTCTTCACTCTCCTATCAAGTGGAAAAAAAGGTGTCTCCTTTGGAGCTGTAAGCTGTGCAGCATGAGATTAATGAAGAGGTGGCACCAGCACTTCCTCAGCCATCCTGGTTGGTGTCTCAGTATGTCACATGCCCGCCCCTCCCCTTCCCCTCAATCCACTGGCTCTAAGCCCAGTTTAGCTCTAGGATTTGCCTAGGATATTCGGCCAACGTGGCCTAGACTGCCTTTCAGTTTATTCAGACTTCAGAGCACTCCAGCCTAAGGTGGTGAGGCTTGTCAGGACTCAAATTCTGACTGTTGGGATGGATGATTTCCTTCTTGCTAGAGCTGGCTTAAATGCTCTCTCCATGGGCAGGCATCATCTGAGGGTGTTCCAGTTTTGCATTCTTCTATAACAAGGCAGCACTAAGTACTATATTCAATGCAGTCTCACAGTTACGGTACTCACCCTCTTTCAAGTGCATGGATTATCTCTCTATACCACCTGGCCACTGTTGTGGGATGAAAGAGGGGTGGCATTGATGATTCAAAACTGTTTCTCCTACTTCTTAAGTGCTTCTGTCAATGATATGAACTTTTTGGTCCTAGGTGATTTTTTTTTTTTTTTGTAGACAGTTGTTAAATTGATGTCCTTGTAGAAGGGACAATTGGTGAAGTCTCTTATTCTACCATTTTGCTTTGTTACTTTTGCCATATCTAAATTTTAAAAATTCCAGAAGGAGAAGATAAGAGAGAGGAGAAAATTATTTAAGAAAATTTCCAAATCTTTAGGTCAGCTATTATCAAATAATTAGTACTCACCAGGGTCTAGGAGAATGAAAGAAGTGGAGTCCCACCACAACACATCACTGTGTCATTTTATATTATTGGGGTTAAGAGAACTTTCTATAAACTTATAAGAAGAAAATATATTAGAGAATTTCATACAAATGACCTGGGAATTAGAAGACATCTAGACTTCTCAACAGAAATAATTTAAACTTGAAAAGAACAGAAAAATGGCTTCAAAAAAATCTGAGGAGAAATGATTTTCTGCTTAGAACTATATGCCCAGCTAAATTATGAATACATGTGAATCTAGAATGAAGATAATTACTAAATATTCTTGGTTTCAAAGATGTATCTCCCATGAATCATTTTAAAGAAAATTGTAAGAAAATATACTTCACTAAAATAAGGGAGTAATCTAAGAAAAGAGTGGGTTCTGATATTCAAGAAATAATGGCTTTAATCTAAGAGAAGTGATGGGAATCTCCAAAATGATGGTGAAGAAGTAACATCAAATAATACCAGTGAAAGAAACCTAGAGATCAATTTATTTAAATTGGGTCACATAAAAATGGGTAGGAGATATTTCTTCAAACATATGAAAAAAAAGAATACTTAATCTATAGAAATATTGCATGGAGATTTATACAACTGGGGGAGGGCTGCAGATTTAATTAATGATAAAAACAAAGAAGACAAAAATGAGGCACTTATTAATCTAAAAAACCAAAAATTCATAGGAAAATGATCATGGATTATTATAGGCTCTGTTATGAAAATAATTAAAATAAAATATACACACTGAGTTTTTATTTAGCCGAATATTTTATATAACTATATTAGGATGATAGAAAAGTAGAAAGTGCTTACATAAAGGCTGTGTGAGAAGAGAAGGGGTTGCTTAAAGACAGTGGAAGTCTTATCTTTTCTAGTGGAAATGAATAGATAACCCCTAAACTGATAAATGAAGAAAGTAATAATATAAGAATATTATTTTCCACAGAGAGATTGAATAATACACAAACAGTTTGGTAAAAGGATTTGAATATGCTGGCCAATGGGAAATGTGGGTGAGAAGGAGTAAATGGTAGTGGTCTTTCATTATGAATGCTATGTAAATATTTTATTCCTCATACTATTTATACAAATAACATTGCCAAAAATAAAATTACGTTATATAAAATAAAATCCTCTCTCTTAAATGCTGTAAAAGAGTAATATTTGCCTCAAAACAGACCTAGTGAGAAGTTTATTGTAAATTCATCTTTATTTTATAAATTTTAATTTTGGAATTTATCCTTTCAAGACATGTATACTCACTGCTTAAAGTTGGAAGGCATGAGACTTCTATTGTCAGACAAATTTATCTCTGTCTTAATTCACATTCACCCTTATTAAAATCAGCAGTGGCCATAAACAAATTACAAATTGTTGGGCTTTCCCCTAAGTATGTTTACCATCATTGGTTTTAAGTATTATGTTCAGTAATCTCACACAGTTTAATATTCATAATAAAGAAATAAATTCATTTTCATTTCTTTTAGGTAATGAACAGCGTTATTCTGAATTTTAAGCAAGATGGGCTGGAGATATAACTAATGATGGGCAAAACACAAATTTTAATATAAGAAGTCATTTTTTGGGTAAAGCTACAAGTTAACTATAGTTCTAAATCATTTTATTTTGTATTTTATACAAGACCAAGGATAAAGGGGTAGGAAATAAGCATGTTTTTTCCTTTAGAGATGGTGATAAAAATTAAAATAGACTGTTTAATCCAGTAGAAATAATGGTGTACAATGATCATGGGAAAAAGAAAAAAATATATATTCAC